ATCAGTATGATTCCTACAAAGACAGGGCTTTTCTTCTGGTCTGTTCTTGGCTATCCTGCCAGAGACCAGTGCCATGTTTGGAGCTGAGCGCTTCTAATAAAATGCAGCAGGAGGAGAGGGAAGCTAACGGCTATAAACTCACTCACTGCCAGCCCTGCTTCTCCAACGAACGAATGGACCACGGGGCCCTGGGCAGCTGATGAACCGAAGTGTCTAGAGTTCCCTGGCTGCACACAGAATAAATGGTAAGCTGAACAGAGGTGTTTTGTAGCAATTAAGTGAAACACACTTAAGTTCAGTATATGACACAAGGGAGGCTCTTAAAACAGAACAAAAAAAAACACCATATCCCTTCCCTTGGAAGTTCCCACAATTCAAAAGTCTTCATCACTAACCAGCAAACAGTAGTCTAAGAAATACACGTGATGGTCCTAACGCAGTAGTTTTTAGCTGAATGACTTGGCAAGTTAATCTAGCCAGAAAGGGGAATGCGTCTCTCCATCTGTTCTTGTGGCTCTTTGTCTAGTCTTTCAAGGAAACGGAATACACTCTTCTTTTAAAGCTGGAATCTGGAGGGGGGTGGGGTGGGGAGGGAGGGGAAAAACGAGGACCTAATGCCGGGGGCTTAAGTGGAGAGGAAATGTTTTGAGATTGATGAGGGCAATGAATGTACAAATGCGCTTTACATGATTGATGTATGTATGGACTGTGCTAAGAGTTGTGTGAGCCCCTAATAAAATGATTTAAGTAAATAAATAAATAAATCTGGAATCCAATTGTGTCCAAGGCTAGACACACGTCAGGCTCCCTCTGCTCTTGGAGGACCTTCACTCCATCTTGGTGTGCGCTACGAGAAACACTGCAGGCTCTTGGATTCAGAGCAAATCTCAGGAGATTCCGTCTCATACATTCATTTCCCAGGGGAGGAAAATTAAAGGCCAGAGATGCTAAGTAATTTGCCCAAGACCACAGAGCAAGCTGAAGACAGAAGTAGGAACTGTGTCCTGACTTCTGAGGGGCCACAGCTGACTGAAAACAAACTCCTGCCCCAACCAGGCACAATGTACGGTAAACCCAAACTCACAGGACTCGAGCTCGCAAAGTTTTAGTGACAGACGGGCCCAAATTACGTGTACTCCTCTCTAAGACACTGTCCAGGAAAGCCAGCCGTCAAACGAGCGGTGCTTGAGCTCCAAAGGCCTTAAAGACACAGTAAGCCCAATAGTCATCCGACTCAACTTCCTGTCCGCTCTTCACTTGGTACCTTACCCAAGGCCTGATGAGAAGATCCGACCAAACACAGACATGGTGAGGGGCTGTTGGCTCTTGTAAGGCAGGGCACGGGGGACTTTTCCACAGAGGTCCTGCTCTGGATGGAACACAAAACCACAAGTATGCGACTCCTGCTTTGGGTCTGGCTGTTATCTTTGTCAGACTCATTCTTTTGGTCAAGCTATGGATTTTCTGTCTACTGCTTACTGGCATTGGGGGGGGTGGGGTGGGGGGGGACAGGGACAGTTATCCACCATCCTGATGGATAAACTGAGGCCTTAGTTGAAGGTGGCTCAGAGGGGCTTAGCAAATGAAGGATCTGGCTGATTACTTGTGCTACCATCTTCTCATTCACAATTGCCTTTGGTCGAAGGTTGAACTTCCTCTCAATAATAGACCAAGCAGCAGCCCTATGGTCACCATTTCAGAAGGGAAAAAACATCAAAATACTTCAGAAGTAGAGACAAGAATAAATCTTGCTGAGGAGAAAAGGTTCTACTTTACTTTTGATTATAGTCAAGTGCTAAAGGAAACTTCCTGAACCACAAATGCCACCTGGTGGACAGCAAGATACATTGTTATAGGTTCAGCTGTGCACCCACCCACCCCCCAATATATGCTGTAAATCCTAGCCTCTATGCCGGTGGTTTGGGGAATTGGTTGCCTTTGATCACAAAGATTCCTTCGTGCTAAGTGTATTTTGAGTCTTTCTTTTGAAATATGAGAGATTACAAGCAAGCTAGTGAGCAAAGATGGGGAGACCTCCAGGGAAGGGATCGAAGCCGAAAGACCTTCCTCCAGCACTGACGGAGACAAAGCCTCCCCCAGAACCTGCACTCAGCCTCTCGTCTCCTACACTGGGAGAGGATACTACACCCACTTGTTAACACCACCCACATGTGGCATTTGTTTCAGCAGTCCTAAACATCTAAGATAACCTGGCACAAAAAGAACGGGGGGCTCCACAGTGACCCTAATAGGACAGAGAACTGCCCCAAGTTCCAAGACTTGGAATCTTGACAAGGGTCAGCCTCATCTTTTTCTTGTGGAGCAGCTGGTGGGTTCAAACCACTGACCTTCTAGACCAGGGGCTCTCTACCTTCCTAACACCGCAACCCTCTCATAAAGTTCCTCATGTGGTGGTGACCCCCAACCATAAAATTATTTTCGTTGCTACTTCATCACTGTCGCTTTGCTACTGTTATGAATTGGGCGACCCCTGTGAAAGGGTCGTTCGACCCCCAGGTTGATAACAGCTGCTCTAGCAGGTTCCCAGCTCAGTGCAGGACCCACCAGAGGTCCTCCAACATAGGAGGTAGCTGGAACGCAGGAGCGGTTTGGGGATTGGGTAGCGGGGTCGAGGTTGGATGAGTTCGAGACACACAGCATTAAAAGCCTAGACTGCCTGGAAGAGACAGGGGTGGAACTGTGACCATGGAGGGCAATGCAGGGGAGGGTTCAGAGGGGAGGAGAATGCGTTCAGAGAAGGCACGGGAACAGATGCCGTTGCAATGGCGGACATTAAATGTGCTTCCATGAAGCTTAAAAACAAAACTGAACATGTAATTGGACAATTGAAGGGCACACTTCCATGCAGTGGCAGGTTTGTCTGAATCGTGATCAAATATTAGGGGAAGGTATAATTTGTAAGCGTGACCTTGGGCATCTGGCTGAGATTCCTAAGCAAGGCTGGAAAAGGGCTGGCTGTTTTCCCTTGGTTAGTCAAATGTGAAAGGAAGAGACAGACTTAAGAAGTAAACTGTGCAAATGAAAACAAAACCTGAACATATGGAAAACCGTCGAATCAAACTAAGGATCTATGTCCAAAATTCTTAACCAAGTATATACCTAGTTTTTGGTTAGAGATTAAGCTTGCGACTGACTGGTGGGTCTAACCAACGACCACAGCAGAAACCCATCAATGTGGCCCAGAGGGGAGAGCGAGCGCACAAACTGCCTCTTACAACCTCACAGGTAGGAAGCAGGCCAAGGAGCTGCATCTGCTGTGCACCAGGCGCAGGCCCTCTCTGGAGCACTTGCAGATGGACACTGCTGCACAGATCACAGCAAGCAGGACCTACTGGGTTTCAAAGGATGGGTTGCACCTCACCGATCCCACTCGGGACTGTGGCGCTGCTGTGACGGTGTCTGGGAAATGGCTGCCACCCAAAGCTGAAGATAGGGCTACCGTGCCCAAGAGGCAGAATAGCAGGGTCCCCACTCAGACGGACGAGGGTAGTGGGGTCCAAAGCTGAGGAAGCTGAATTGCTGTCCTCGTGTTCCTGGAAGGCATAGCTGAATCCCAAGGCCAAGGGGCTTCCACCCAGAATCCAGAGCAGTGCTGCTGCAGCCAAGATGGTTTCAGAGAGCAGAGGGTTCTTTCCAAGTCTTGAGAGCTGACGTGACTTGCTCTGCTGGGGTTGACTTGCCTGCCACCTGTCATTCTTTCGTACCGTCACGTCTCCCACTTATAATGCAAATGCCTACTTTGTGCCTGCTTCACTAACATATTTGAAAGCACCAAACCTATCTTCTAGATTTCTTTTTTCTTTTTAATATTTCTCAATAATTTAATAGGGTTTTTTTTAGAGGGGGAGAGAGATGAACTATCAACAGAAAAGTGTCCATATGTAACTGAGACACCTCGCTGAGGTCAAGAAAGGCCACAGCAGGCCTATAGGCTTAAGGAGAAGATGCCAATTTTGCCCAATCACAACATGCAAGCTCTCCTGTCCACAAATCACCAACTTGGAGTAACAGGACCGAATCCCTGAGTCCGCCATTCCATGTCCACTCCAGGCACTGCTGTCGAAACCTAGCTTTGCAGCCAAGGCACATAAGGATCGTAAGTCCATTTTGGGAAAACTCGTTTGTAGAGGTTCATCGATACTGTCCTGAGATTTGAGCTTCCCATCAAAAGTGCACTTCCTGTGGCCATGAGTAATCTTCTAGATTTCATAGGCTCTCCACAAGGACCAGGATGGACTATGAGTCACACCTGGCCCACGTTTGGTTTAGATGATTCAGAAGATCTGATTTTGGGCTTCAGAGCCAATTTGAGACTTTGGGGATGATGTGAGGGTGTTGAATGTATTTTGCGTGTGGTTAAGAACATGAGTTGAGGGGGCCAAAGATTAGAATGTTATAAATTGTGTCCCAAAATCTTAACCTCAGTACCTGTGGTTATAATCCCATTTGGAGATCGGGTGTCTTTGTTACGTTAATGGGGGATCTTATGATACTTGTAAGGGATTACATAAAAGCCAGCAGAGAGACACTAACACATGGAGATCCCCATGGATCAAGGAAGCCAAAGCTGAAGAGGCGACCAGAGACAAGGCCTGCCTTCCCCTAGAGCCAGCACCCCAAAGCCAGACTTCGGCCTCCTAACCTGTGAGGAAGTACCTCTGTCAGTCACCCTCAGTGCTGCTACGACAGCAGCCCTAGGTGATGAAGGCAGGACAGTTAGTGCACTGGAAGACAAATCAGATAGGAAATTTGGGCAACTTAGCCTGGAAGAGTTCATCACACTACTCCCAGTCTCTCAATATTTTCATAAAATAACCAATTCCTAACTGCAAGAAAAAGTATATATATATTCTCAAGGAAAAATATAAAACTAACCTTTTCTCAATCCTAAGAAAATCTCATCTTTCTCTCACTGCCCCCCCCCCAACACCCTGCCCCCAGTGACGGCACTCACGCAACACGTGCAAAGGGGACGTGCGTTGGTCAGTAATCAATTTTATTAACAAAGCTCTCGCCACATGTCCAAACAAGAAACGAATTCCAAGAACAAAGACCTACATACAGTGAAATTAGGAGGGTCCCAGGATGCCAAGACATACAGAAACACGTACACTCACATCACCGCCGCCTCCGCACACCTGAAAGAAGGGAAAGACGCGTGAGGGCGAGGACGGGGCCTGTGGGACCGAGAGGAGAGGGCCCTGGTCGCACTCTGAGTCCTCCCAGGGCAGGAGACGAGAAGTAGGGCTCCAATCTAAAGGGGAAACACTAAGGTTCCCTCAAGGGACACTGTTCAAGTTCTGGTCAAGGAAGCCTGAACAGAACGGTGGGACCCTGGAAATGGGATCCAGAAATCCCTTTTTGAATGATGTTAATTTCCAGTTTGGGAAAGAATGAAAAAGCCCATTTAAAGACATGTTTGCCCATTACAGAAGACACTCTAAAGCAGTGGTTCTCAACCTTCCTAATGCCGTGACCCTTTAATACAGGTGACCCCCAACCATACCATTATTTTCCTTGCTACTTCATCACTCATTTTGTTACTGTTATGAATCGGGCGACCCCTGTGAAAGGGTCGTTCGACCCCAAAGGGGTCTGGACCCACAGGCTGAGGGCCCAGAGAGCAGGCACCCCAGCCTGCAACAAACCACCTGGGTCCGAGACTTTCACTGACCTCTTTTCTTCCGACCTTTTTTGGGCAGCTTCTTCCGCTTCTTAATAGGGTTCTGGTCCTGGAGACAGATGAGAAGTGGCAGAATGAATGGCAGTGCACTTCCACGTCATCCAGGTACTAGGACCCAGCCTGTGTGACTGAGCACCTGGCTCACCTCAAGATGAGGGGCTCCCCCGGTCAGAGCACTGATGTCGCTGAAGTGCGTGAGGGAGTGAAGCTGCGAGCTCATGACGTCGGCCCGCTTTCGCCGCCCCTTCTCTCGCTTGCTGACACTCAGCCGCACCATCATGCTCTCCTCATAGTTGACCCTGCCAGAGACACCGGTTCCTGATGAAGGCGCTGGAGGGCCGCAGCCAAGTCCTCATCCCTCGTCACACCCTTCCCGAGAAACGTACCAGCACATCTACACGAGAGTCCTACCCCATCATACTGAGTGATCATCCCTGAGTCCAACCCCACACTGAGTGGTCATCCCTGTGCTTCCCCCACCGAAGACGTCCCAGCACATCTACACGAGAGTCCAACCCCACCACACTGAGTGGTCATCCCTGTGCTCCCCCACCACACTGAGTGATCATCCCTGTGCTCCCCCACCACACTGAGTGGTCATCCCTGTGTCCAACCCCACCACACTGAGTGGTCATCCCTGTGCTCCCCCACCGACGACGCCTGGGGCGGGGCCTTCCTCCACCCTGAAGACACAGTCCATCCCACTATCCTTTCAGGAAACTCTTGAACTCCACCCTCGTCTGTCAGTCTGTGGCGCGGCAGTGATGATGGAAGTTAAGCCACCGGCACACCAGGAAGGCCCCTGGGTGAACAAGGTTCGGTGGAGTTTCCCGACCAAGAGCAGACAGGGCGAAGGGGCAGGTGGTCCACTGAAAACCTTAAACACAACAGAACACTGTCTGATACAGTCCAGGAGTCCTGCAAACAGAAGGCATTCGAAACACAACCAGGAAGAGCTGCCTCCTCAAAGGAGAGCTGCCGGTCACAAGGCGGTGGAAACAGTTTCACCTGACCCACTCACCGAGGAGTCTGCATCCGTCCGGCGCTGTGCTACTTACTGGACACCCTCAAGGCCCTTCTCGAGCCCACCTCTACTGAAGATCTCACCAAAGGGAAGGCTCTGACAACCTAGAGTTTCGAAGCCCCACTAAGGGCATCACACAGAATTTGCTTCAGCACATGACACCTCAGTCTAAACAGCTGGAATTTGTACTTCAAACCCTAAATTCTTAGAACGGTTTTGCAACAAGATGTCCTGGTAAGAGCGGCACAAGCACAGTGTCCAGAGTTTAGAAAGCTCTTCTAATGGCAAGGATCCCGACCTGTGTTGGTCCTCCTGACTCTGGCGAGTGACATGAGGGTGCCGGGCGTCTCGGATTTCCTCTGGGGCATCGGAGTACTGCTCCTTAAGCTCCCGGATGACAGAGCTGCTCAATGCCCGCTTCTTGGCTCGTTCCAGACGCTTCTTCTCCCGCTCAGCTTCTGTTTCATCTGTGAGAAAGATCAGCAGGTGTCCGTCCTCTCAGAGAAAGGGGAGGAGACACACAGTTCGTGCCGAGGCGGCAGCAGTCGCAGTTCATACCATAATGCACTGGAACCAAGCGCGGTGGGACATATTTCTTAGATGCTCCTTTCACAGATTTCGTCCCTGAGGCCTCAGACTGGCCCGGCTCTGCTTCATCTTCTTCCTCATCCTCGGAGCTCAACTAGGAAAAGAACACAATATCCTCACACGTTAGGAAGTACTAGTTCAGGAAGCGAGAAGGAAGAGAATAGCTAAGTACCCCAGAAACATGGGGGCATAAACCATGCGATGGGACAACCTCCCCATCAACAGTAACAAGCGCATCCCAGGAGACCCTGGGTCACGAGAGGCTCATTTAGGGACTGGGTGTTCAGGGCCATCGGGCGGTTAATGAAATCCTTACCTTGCTCATCATATTGCTGGGATGAGGCTTAAAGCGAAGTGGGTCATTCTCACCTGAAATCAAAATGCAAGCGGTTTGAAGAGATCTGAACTCAAGGGCAGTTCCTGCTTCACCACGAAGCTCCCCGACTTACCCAGGCTGCCCGTCACTGCCGTCTTGACCAGTTTGTCAATCTGATACTTCAGTTTCTGGTCCAAGGGACGAATCTTTTCCAAAACCTATTAATCATCATGATCATTCAAACAGGATTACTTTCCTTTCCCTAAATTAAACACACTCCAAGGCCCCCACATTCAGTTGGCTAGATGAAATCCCTAAAGTTGGTTTAAAAGTACACGTGAGAAACAAGTGTGTTTCACTTGAGTTCCTACTTCAGCCTGAGAGCAGCCATTGGAGTCGGAGCTACTGGTGACCGTGCTCGAGGGTCAGGATCTCACAACCGAGCCCTCAAGACGTTCACGCTCCCACCTACCGTGCGCATCTCCACCAGCCTCCACACCGCTGCGTGGCCCTGCAGAGACCCTCCTGAGGCTTTGTCCAGGAGGAGGTGGCTCAAGTCCATCAGGTACATGAGCAGCATCTGGTCCTTCACCTCCAAGAAGCTGAGACCCTGCGTGGAACAAGAGGTAGACACACAGGTCCAATTTTCAGGAGGCGAGCACAGGACAAATAAAATGTTTTTCCCTATTTGGTTCAGACGGAGCCCGATGGAAGTCTCAAGAAAGAAGCTATACCTAAGACGGCCGACAGGAGCCTGCCTGCAGAAGCAAAGCACTGAGACTTACTGCACAGGCAGATCAAGAGAGCCCGTAACCGGGTTCCTGAACATTAGCACTAATGACATTTGAGGGCAGCTAATTCCTTGTTGTGGGTGCGTTCTGAACATCACAGGAAGTGCAGCAGCCTCCCTGGCTCGACCCACCGCTCTCCTCCTAGCTGCGACAACCAAAGATGTCTCCACAGTGCGCAACTTCCAGTTACCCTAACGAACACCAGATTACTAGCTTCATCCCCAGAGGAATTGTAAAATGCGTAAAAACAACACTCGCTAGGTGGCGACATGGCCTGAAGTCTGTGTCAGCCCAAGTTGCAGAGTGGCTTCATTTGCAGGAGAACAGGACGCAGACGCTGCTATCTGAATGGAAAGTGTCTGGAAGCAGATGCACAGGCCACTCACGCTGCCCAAGGGACAGGACGCTCACACCAACAACTGCTGTTTTGTCTACATCTAGCACACATTGCTTTCCTAAGAGAAACATCTCCCTCAATATACCCAGTGGGTAGCTTGAAGCGCTGAGTCAAACTGCTTTTCATTTTCTCATGCTTTTATATGCTCCTAAGATTGATAAACTCATTACACTTACAGATGAAAAAAAAACTAACAAGTTTTTGCTTTGGTTTATTTTTAATAAACTCACTGTGGGTATACTGGTTTGCAAACAACATCCCCAGCCTTGGGAAGGTGACGTACTTCGCCGAAGATCACAGAGTTAACAAGGTAGAGCCAACACCAACAGGAAGCTCTCCGTACCTTTACACCAGCAATCTAAGCTCTTGAGCGTCAGCATTTGTGGGGTACACGAGAAGGAGCAAGGCTTTGGCACTGGATGGCCTGGGTTTAAGTTCTGAAATGAACACTTCACCGTGCGACTTTCGTCTCCTCATCTGTGAAACCTGTGCAGTACTGCCTTCTTATGTCAGAGTAATCACAATCGTGAGCAAGAACTAACACAAAACACAGGGAATCCAGGGCGGATGAGCCTCAGGACCAGTGGTGAGAGGGGCGATACCAGGAGGGTGGAGGGAAGGTGGGGTAGAAAGGGGGAACCGATTACAAGGATCCACATATAACCCCTCCCTGGGGGACGGACAACAGAAAAGTGGGTGAAAGACGACATTGGACAATGCAAGATATGACAAAATAATAATTTAAAAAGTATCAACAGTTCATGGGAGGGGGAGGAGTGGGAAGGGAGGGGAAAAAATGAGGAGCTGATGCCAGGGGCTTAAGTAGAAAGCAAATGTTTTGAGAACGATGAGGGCAACAAATGTACAAATGTGCTTGACACAATGGATGGATGTATGAATTGCAATGAGTTGTATGGCCCCCAATAAAATGATTTTTAAAAAGAATACACAAAGAAAGTGCTCGCTTTGTAGGCTGTAGAGCACTAGAGACTGCTCCCAAAACAAAAAAACAAACGCCCAGTGAGCCGTTTCTGACTCCCAGTGACGGACCCTGTAGGACAGGGTGGAACTGCGCCTGTGGGCTTCCGAGACACCGTTTCCTGGAGTAGAAAGGAGCAGAGCAGCTGGTGGTTTTTTTTTTGTTTGTTTTTTTTCAGCTGGTGGTTTTAATGGCTGACCTTGTGGTTAACAGCCTGGCAGGGACCCCACTGTGCCACCAGCACTCCCGGGCCACACAAATGAGAAGTCCTGAACTGAAAAGGAGCCCAGGTGCATCGTGGCCACACGTTGGCTGCTAATCGCAAGGTGAGAATGTTTTCTACTCTCACAAAGAGCTACAGGCTCAGAAACCCACAGGGGCAATTCCACCCTATCCTATCAGGTCACTCTGGGTCGGATTCGAGTCGGTGGGTGTGAGTGTGACTTACAAAGACACCCCGAGGTCCCTCAGAAGGCACCCCAAGGTTTGAAGGCACCCCGAGGTCCCTCAGAAGACAGGTCTGAGTTCTGCAGCCTGGAGAACGCTACTCTGCACACACAGGGTTACAGAATGCACCCGAGGGTGAACCCCACAAAGCATCCACAAAAGGTCTGTGGTCACCAACAGTTAGGGAAGTGTCTGCTCAATTGACACACAAGGACATAGTGATATGAGATGCATGCTGCTGGTGCGTTTGGAAACGGCACTCCAGTGGACGAGAAACAAACGACAAAAAGAAAATGCTAACAGAAAATAAGAGCAAAAGTAAATAAGAAAAAGACATAAAAAATATCGCTCAGTTTCTTTCTAAAACACACCTTTCCGTAACCCCCTTGCTTAGAAATCTCCCAATGATTCTTATGAATCTACTATAACTTTCACACTGCCGTTGACCTATGGGATGTTCTGTTTCACACCTTAGGATCAAAGCTCAATGTATGAGGGAAAGTCAAAACAGTATTGTTTAATAAAAACCTTTATTAAACCAAAATATCAAAAGGTGAAGCTGTTATTTCTCAAATATCCTCCACCCGGGTCTATACGCTTCTGAAGACAGTTTCCATCTCTCTAACCCTTGCTCTTTGATTTACACACCACATCAAAATGGCAGTTTGGGCCTCGTCAAGGGATTCAAAATGTGTTTTTTTTTTACATCATCTTTGAGTTTGGGGAATAAAAGGGACAAGATCAGGGCTGTAGGATGGATGGTGCTAAGGCAGGGGTCCTCAAACTACAGCCCCCAGGCTACATGGGGCCCGCCAAGGACATTTATGTGGCCCTCCAGGTTTTTGCCCCGCTTGTTTTTTTACTTCAAAATAAGATGTGCAGTGTGCATAGGAATTTGTTCATAGTTTTTTTTAAACTATAGTCCGGCCCTCCAACGGGTCTGAGGGACAGTGAACTGGCCCCATTTAAAGAGTTTAAGGACCCCCGGGCTAAGGAGTCCAATGAAATTGTCACATCAGAACAACAAGCTCTTACTACATCAGAACAACGCGCAGGGATATTAATGTGATGGAAAAAAACCTCCTCGGTACAACTTTCCTGGCCTTTCTCCTATCAATATCTTTTCAGATTTCCTAACAGCCCCAGAGTCCCATTGTCTCTTTTGAGGAAACCTATAAAGATTACCCTTTTGGAATCCGAAAGTCACCTTAACTTTCTGAGCTGACTTCTCTGCCTTGAATGTAACTGGTCCAGCAGATCCCCTCAATAATCAGTTTTTTTGGGGGGAAAGGGGAGGCACTCTACATGCGACTACGACAAGGGTATTTCTGAGAGAACTTGTCTGCAGCCACTCACTGATCTGAGGCAGGCACGCATGCTTGGTTGGAATACCCTCTGCCTGCCTGCCTGCATGCACTGGAACCTTAACAGCAATACTCTATTTCTCCGTGGGAAAGCTGTGCAGCAATACTCTGTGACCACTTTCATGCCAAACCTAACTAAAGCAGGGTCAGACATCCTTCCGTGTCCCCACACGCGACAATCCCTGAGTAGGTTCTGTCAGATTTTTACCTTGACGACTACCATATTTCAACTCTAAGATGCACACCACCTTCCTGTTTTAACACTTCCGACATGAGAAAGCACTTTTCCATCCATGGTGTTATACCTCGGTAACACATCGGCCAGCAGTCATTTTTGCGTAGGACAGAAAACGTGGAATCGCATCTTATCGTCGTTGTTAGTTACCGGCAAGGCAGCTCTGGCTCATGACGACCTTGTGCCTGACATTAAGAAAGCACTGCCCAGTCCAGGGTCACCTTCCTAAGCATGGGTACGTCTGAGTCCGTCAGGGCAGCTTTTGCTGGTACGTTCCAAACTAGGGGGTCAACCTTCCAGCAGTACACTAAACTACACTGTGAACCAGAGTTCTCACTGGCTAATTTTCAGGAACAGACTGCTTGGCCTTTCTGCGTGGTCTGAAGTTCCAGTGCAGGCTTCACTCCGAGAGACAGCACCGGCATGGGGCGCTGGCATTTTGAAATGCTGGTGGCTCAAGTTTCCAGCACCACAGTCAGAAAACGTAAGATGCCACAGCACAACCAACTCACAGACAGACAGCGTCTTAGATGAGAAGAAATAGTACAGTAACTCCTCAGCCACCTCTTGACCGAGTGACTTTTCCAGCCATCTCTTTTCTACTGCCCCACACCCCAACATGTAAGCCCAGCCACATTAAACGACTGACCTCTTTTCCTAGAACATCACCACGCTTCCAGGTCTTTGTGTATGTTATTCCCGTCTGTGCCTACACCCCCTACTGACTCTTCAAAATCCCGTTACATCCCCCAAGCAGCCTTTCTTAGGTTCCCTCTGCTCCTCCGGCAGTTATCTCCCCCTTCAGCTCTGACAGCACCACCATGACTCTATTCCTTCAAACTGTCTTTCCAACTCACCTCAATAATCCTACAATAAAAGAACTACCGAAAACATCCAGTGAAGTGGTGCTCACGGCCCAATCAGTCTTACCTTCTCTGTAGGATAGGCTCCGGCTTGAACTTTTTTGGTGAGCGCTTGCACCTGTGCAGTTACAGCCACCACCTGAAATTAGCCCAGATAAAACAGCAGAGTAAAAAACATCACGTCAGAAGCTCACGGGCGGCAGTGAGACAAGGCCATTTAAAAATTATCTTAGGTCTACTGTAGTATCTTCTCAGTTGTGGAATACTACAGGGTAAATGTTTCTGATCACTCTTGAGCAGGGAGGGGGAAAATATCCCACCTTAAAAAAAAAAATCTTAAAAATGAAGGCGAGGTCATCTTCACCACACCTTGGGTAGGGACTGTGGACGGGGACCACGATGGGGGAACTGCAAGCTATGGCTGGGGGGATAACACTTCAGAAATACACATTTATTATCCCGTCACCGTGTCCATCATCAGGGGAGCCCTGGTGGCCGTCGTGGGTTACACATTGGGCTGATAACGGCAAGGTCTGCAGTTCCAAACCAGGACGCCCGGACGCCGAGGGAAGACGAAGCTTTCTCTACTCTAGCTAAAAGCCCACAGGACAGGACGCCTGCCCGGTCCTAGGGGTCACTAGGAGTTCGAATCAACTCGAGGGCAGTGAGTTTGGCTTTTCAGGAGTGGTGCCCATCATCTGTTCCTTAGCTACAGAAGTGGGTGGGCGAGGGGGGTCCTGAGCCATGATTCCTGAGGGCCCTTGTGAAGCGTTCTGAGATCCTTGGAGACAGACAGTACTTTGAAACCTGGACGGAAACGGGTTCCGTAAAGTCATTTCACGCGTACGATGGGCCAGCATTCAAATATCGGCCAGAGTTTGGGGGCGGGGCCCACAAAGGCAGTCCGAGAGCAAAGCGTCCCCGAGAGGTGCCCCGGCTCACCTGCTCCCGGAGGTTTTGCAGGAGTGTCACGGCGCTCGGCAGGTCCGACGCCAGCACCTCCTGGAGAAGAGCGAGGGGCAGTAAGAGACGCCATTCTCTCTTCTGAACGGAGGGAAAACCAAACTTCCGGGCCAGCAAACACCCCCAGACGAGGAGCCTTTCCCCGGGGGTGCACGCGCAGCCTAGCCCAAAGCTCCCCCAAGCCTCCTCCCCCTTCTGCTTTGGCCCCACTGAGCCAAGGAGGCCGTCTCTGAGACGCCACGTGCCGCGGGGCACTCGACCACGCCAGCGACGCGAGCCAGAAACCACGCAACACTCACCGGCGCCGCCATCTCCTCAGCCCCGCCCCTTCCGGCTCCGTACTTCCGGCGGCCCGCCCACTCCGGTTCCGTACTTCCGGACAGGACGGCGCTGGCTAGGCCTGATTGACGTTTCAGTCCGGAAACCTAAGCCAATAGGAATAGGGCTGCTTCACTTCCGCCCCGAAAGGGATGACGAGAGGTAGGGCGGGATCTGACCAATGGGATAAAGGAACTGGCTGAAGACGTCACACTCAGGAGGAGACCTGATGACGTCAGGCTGCTCTTGGAAAGAAGCACACCATTAGGCACTTGAGTAGAATGACTGAAGATGATCCAATAAAAGCTGGGCAAATAGTTGATTGACAGCTGGAACAGCCCAATGGAAAAGGAACTCGGTCGGCGCCCCGAGCGCCTTGGTGAGCTTCCTGACGTCTCGGCACCCAGCACCTTTCCCCGAGCCTGCCCTGCATGGCCTGGCCCAGCCGGTAGGTGTCAGGCGTCGGCTGCCGTCTGCGGAGGCGGTGGTGCTGATGCTGCGTCGCCATTGCTGGCTGGGCCTCCAACGCAGACCACCTGAGAATCATCCTGGACCCCGGAGCCTGTGAATGCCTCTCCCACTACACCTGTGTGACCATGAACAAGGCACTCAGCTCCCTACAGCTTATGTAAATCAGATCATTGAGCCCAAAGCGCCCAGAACCAGGTCTGAGAGACTGACTGCGAGGACACTCGCCCTCATTGTGGCAAAGGGAAGGCCCCATAGATGCATCCTCCCGACACTCCTACCAGCCTGGACACGTGCAAGTTTATAAATAAGGAAACCAGTTAAGACTCCATGAGACTTCTCCGTGGTCACGCCGGTCCGGATGAGCTCCTTGGTTTTCTTACTTTGCCTCAGTCCTGTGACATATATCATCTCACAGCTTAATGAAGTGGATTGGTCTAATTGTTCCCTCCAGTGACTTAAGTAATGAACACTGAAAGGGCTCCCGAGTCTCAATGACTGACCTGGGCGGAGGAAACCAGACTGCTCTTCCCTGGAGGACAGTATGCTTGGTAAAGTAGGAGATCAGCAAAAAAGAGGTAGACCCTCAATGGGACGGACTGTCGCAGGTGCCCAGCGAGGAGTGTGCGATGGCTCAGGACCAGGCTATGTTTTGTTCTGCTACGCATCAGAAGGACCAACTCGATAGTAACGACAATGGCCGGCAAAACAAATTATCACAAGTTTGGTGACCTAAAACAGCAGAAATGGCTTCTCTCATCCCTGTAGAGACCAGGAGTATGATATGCTTTGCTGAGTTGAGATCAAGGTGTCAGTCAGCAAGGCCACGCTCCCGCAGAAGATCTAATGGGAAATTCATTTCTTGTCTCTTCCCGTGTTTCCTGGATGCCAGCATCCCTTGACTGGGCGTGTCACGCTGATCTTTGCCGCCATTGTCACGTGGTTTCTTCCTCGTGGTGTGTCACATCGCCCCTGCCTCTCTTTTAGCAGGCACTCTTGACTGGATTTACAGCCAACCCAGATCATCTAAAAGAGCCTCCTATCTCAAGATCCTTAACTTAATCACATCTGCAAAGACCCCTTTTCCTTACAAGGTCACAGTTACAGGCTCCAGAGATTAGGACTTACCTTTGAATGGCTATTATTTGGTTTATTGCAGATCCTATAATAATGCAATTTGTTCTCTTGATTTCATTTTTGAATTGTTCATTGCTAGTTTATAGAAGAGGAGCCCAGCCTCCACACAAGTACTCCCTCAATGCAAGAATACTTAGTTCTATAAAACTGCATTCCATGATGCTCACCTTCCCGACACGATCGCTGAAGACAAAGTGGGGGTACAAGCAAATGTGGTGAAGAAAGCTGATGGTGCCCGGCTATCAAAAGATATAGCGTCTGGGATCTTAAAAGGTTGAAGGTAAAAA